TAGGGGAGACCGGGGCAAGTTGGCTATAGGGGTAAGATGACACATTGCTTATATTTTGGCTATTTTTTAAAAAATTGCAGAATCAAGCAAGTGGGGAGTGCAAAACCATCTTTGACACATATGACGTAAATTGCATTTTATTATGAACAACAGTTATGAAATAATAACGTTAATTTGTATTCTTAACTATGGAAGTAGATTTTCACAGTCTCCTAAATTTCTTTATATTATTGATAAACGTAGAATAATTTTATGTTAATTGCTATCAGTTCGAAAATATATTTAGTTGACAACATTTTAATGAACTTTTCAATAATATTATTTACACCGTATTTTATATATATGATCCGGAAGAACTTTGCTAGCTTCGGGGTATGTTGACACAAAAAGAATGGGGCAAGTTGACACATGAAGTTCAAACTCGCTACGAGTCGTGGCGCACGTGTTCTACCTATTTTAGGTTAAGTACGTATAATGTTAAGTTCCGCTTAGGACGTGGAGTGAACGTCTTCTAACTTATTGTTAGAAAATAAATGTTTAATCCTGCGGGGTTGCATCATCCCGTAGTGACCGCGTCGGCCCAGTAGGGACCGGGAGCCAATATCCACCAACAACAACGTATACGTGGTACGTCTTTCAATTAGATTAGTTATTTAAGTCAGCTTATCTAATAGTTTAGTCTTTTCATTTATAGGAAAGTATTAAAATGCGAAATTATAAAAGAAAAACTAATCGATCAAGGACTTCTTCTGACGTAATGTTAAAAGCTGTCAGAAGTGTAAAAATAGAAGGCAGGTCCATAAGAAGTGATGCAAAAGATTTTGATATTCCTTTTCGCACCTTGACTCGTTATTGTAAAAAGATGGAAACAGATGTAAAAGATATTGATGTTGGATATAGTAAATGCAAAATGGTAAGTTGCTATGAAAATATTACAAATATTTGTCGATTTACGACGTGCCTGGAATAGTATCATCTTGTCTTGATTATGCTGCATCCCCGGCAAATATTAAAGCTGGATTTCAAGTGACTGGGATTTGGCCTTACAATGAAAATATTTTTCTACCAAATGAGTTCTTGCCCGCTTTTGCAACCGATAGGTTCGCGGCTGCTGTCTTCTTCGTTTAATTTAACCAAATTATATTTTTTCCGGTCTAGACAACTTACCCCGTATCATGTGCCAATGTACCCCGTTAGCGGGGCAAATTGACTCACTTGACAGCCTCGACAATAAAATGGATTGCTTCTATGAATTTCTTTTCAAACCTTTTAATATATATATATTTCTGTTGTCGAAGGATTGCACTTTCGAGTTTTACTAAAAATAGGCACAAAATACGGTAAACAAAAAAAGAAAAAAATAAAATGTAAAAAGTGTGCCAACTTGCCCCGGTCTCCCCTA